GATGAAAAGTTTCATTTCCATATTACTGCCTGTTAGCTCGTTTCGTATGAGCTGACCTTTAGTTTATTTCATTTATATGTTAAGTCTCTTCAAGAATGTCCTTAAAATCACTAGGTATATATGTATCCAGAGAGAGGAGAAGAAGAACAATAGAAAAAGAAGGAGAAACAACAATAACAATACAGTAGAAAGAAGAAGGGGGAGAGAAAGAGATAGAGAATCGAGGATAGATAGAATGCGAGCTACCGTTAACACTGCCTTCCAAAAGCGTGCTTATATTACCATCGATGACACTATAGTGACTAATGTCTTTCTACTGAATGTTGAAATTACATTTTCTTCTGTTCTGCAAAAAATAATCATGACAACATTGAAAGGCGAACGATGAATCAATCGTTGTCGTCAATCAGACACATTTGAAACAAAAAAAAAACGCTCTGTCATACTACTGTATTTCCTATCTATAAATACTCAGTGTATGTGTGCATGTTATGTAGAATTTTGATTGTTCATAATACAATGTATAGTATTTATCGTGTTCTTCTATTAATTGCTTATTTGGGAATTTTAATTCGTTGCCAAGGGGGCGGTGGTGGTGGCGGCGGTGGCGGCGGCGGCGGAGGAGGAGGAGGAGGAGGAGGAGGAGGTATGGTTCTAGCTTATGATCTATGTTGACATATTCTCTGTTTTCAGGTGGTTTTGGTGGTGGATACTATGGGGGTGGTGGAACAGCCTGTACGACAGATGAATGTCGACGTAGAAGTGGCATCATTATAGGAAGCATTATCGGTGGCCTCGTTGGATTATCGTTGCTAATTTGTAGTATTGTGCTTTGCTATAAACATGGTAAATGTCGTAATCCCTGTGCAGGTCGACCATTTCGAAACAATTCAATCTTCGTCAAATTACCAAACTTACGAAATCGTAAACAACAAGGATATGGCATCAGTCCTTTTCAATCAGGTATCTGGTCGAGTCGATATTTTCAATATGGAAGATGGCATGGACCTTGCCAATTTTCGCTTTCATTTGATCAACAATCAATGAAAGTAGCAGGCAGTGGGACAGATGATGTCGGTACATTTACTATTGATGGAATTTATTCATCTAAAACACATCGAATTGGTCTAACTAAAACTTATCAACGAGGTACTGGCAATCCATCAGAAAACTTAGGTCATCGAGTTATTATTCAATTGACATGGAATGCACAAAATAATCAATTTAAAGGCAAATGGTATGTACAAACAAATAGATATCATGGCGAAGCTAAATTTGAACTTGTGTTCAACGGTGAACAACAACCTCCCGCATATAACAGTGTATAATTCTAATGAACTATCGTATTTTGTGGATTAAGGTGAAGTTTTCTCGCTCCACCCACCCTTTTACAGACAGGTCACATTACAGACAATTGTCGTTAAATACCATTAGGCATAATATAAAAATTAGTTGTTATGTTTGTTTAGCTGTGCTAATTTTCATGTATCAAAATATTTTAATGTTATTTGCATTTTATTTTATAATCATAAATTATAATAAATAATGTTATCTTTCCTTCTTGTTTATTTCTCTTTCTTTTAAACAACGAATAATAATCCACTTTCTCAACAATAACCATTATATGAATAGACCAGCGAGAAGCGAAAGAAAAGAATGAATATACAGCAGGAGATACAGCTTCAACCATAACACCCCCCCCCCCCCCCCCCCCCCCCCCCCCCCGCTCGAAAAGAAAAAACAACGTGAGAAGGAAAAGAAAGAACAGGAAAAAATGAAAATAACATCAAGTCACGAGGAGAGTAGAGAAGCCAGCAATACTATCAGAAAGAAAACAAAAAAAAAGGGATATGATACACAATTAAAATGGTGTGAGTGTGGGTGGGATGTTGGCAAGGGGGAAAAAACTCATTCGCGGGCATTCGAATGGATGGAATGGATGAGAATGGACGGGAATGGATGAGAATGGAAGGGAATGGATGAGAATGGACGGGAATGGTGGAGAATGGATCGGAATAATCAGAGAAATTCAGAAGTAATTTCATGTAGTACAAAATTAGCTATATTAACTATTGAAATGTTAAGAGCATGTAACTTACTAAATATGTCCAAACATTTTGTATACATAATAAATCTTTTTAACTTATTAAATAGCATTATTTACTCTAGAAATATTCGAACATGTGTGATATTCTACAAATATCATCATAAGTATTTACCCATATAATAATGAGATATTATGCTTTTTTTCGTTACATTATAATGTGTACAGGCAAATAGTAAAAAAGATTTACTATGAACACGCCGAAAGAAAAAATGTCGAAGGCAAAAACGTCGAACAAAAAAATCGAAATAAAAAAACGTCGATCATGTAACATATCGAAACTTCTAAGATGTCATTATTGACCAATATTGATTTTCTTTCCTATCATATTTCTTGTGTTTTCTATCGTATTTTCTTTTATCGAATGATTCATTCTTTTAATACTCATTTGTCATTATCAATTAACGTATTTTTCCTTTTTTTTCAATCAAATCAAATAAATATTTTATATTTTTCATGCAACATAATTTTTCACTGATTCGACATTTTTTTCATTCGATCTTTTTTCTGTCGACTCCTTTTCGCTCGATGTTTTTTTTCGATATTTATTTTTTGACGTTTTTTTTCGATTTTTTTCCCTCGACATTTTTCTTTCGACGTTTTTAATACATGCCGTAAAAAAAGCTTGTTAGCGCAGCTCCTGCGGAGCTGAAATGTGGAACTCACATATAGGGGTGGGTGTGGTGGTGGGTGTGGGTGTGGGGTGTGGGTGTAGGTCTAGTTCTCCACTTAAGCCACACCCACACCCACACCCACACCCACACCCACACCCACACCCACACTCACACCCACACCCACACCCACACCCACCCCACACCCACACCTACCCACACCCACCCCACCCTTTGCTAATTAATTCAATGATTATAATAATAAGAATGTTGAATTACGAAAAATGAATTGAAAAAAATGAAAGATAATGAGCGAATAGCAACAATGCAAAATAAAAATAGGGCGCCCTCAAACAAAAAAGAAATTTTCTGTTTTAAATGAAGAAATAAATAACAAAGTCTCGCTCTTGTCATTGATTATCAATGAAAACAACTACAGTGTACACGGAATTTTTCAGTTTACATATGATGTATTAGAGTATTAAGATTTAAGGATATATGTGAGTTCCACATTTCAGTTCCGCAGGAGCTGCGCTAACAAGCTTTTTTTAAATAATTTAGAGCTAAATAGAGCCATACACGAGACTCCAGCGGAGTTACATAAATAAAAAAAATCATCAGATAGATATTAGTAGCACAAAGAGAAACATATATGCAAGTCAAAAAAAAGGATTTTCGAAGCTTCTCTGAGTCACATGCAGACAGAAAATACTGACGGAATCGGCAAAGTTTGGCTCCGCACGACTCTAGAACTAAATATGAACAAATTCTATTTCTACGAATATATGGTGTTTCAGTTAAATCTAATTAAACTTAATAAGGTAATAACTCTCTAACCCGATGATAGACAAATCCAAGAATTTCAAAGTAGTCTTCACACTATGAACTATACCTATCATGAAATTTTCAATAAGAGTGGACTTCAAAAAACGGGTTCCTCTAGAGATCTGCTCTCATTCCACAATGAGAATTTTTGTTTTGCTATCATCTCGAAATCTCCAATAAGAATTCGTATCCTATTTAGAATTAATTTTTAAAATTCTCATTGCATTACAAGAGGATTTTTCGTTTCTATATTTGCACACACGTCACTAATAAAATAAAATTACTCATTCATATATATCTATATATATTTAGGATTCGAACGGCGTTGAAATGATAACAAATAATGATAAAAATTCATCACAAACATGGAATGTTGATACGTTTGCAATAGCAATAAATGATTTGGCATAAAACTAAAAAAAAATTCTTTTTTTTATAATAAAATAATGTTTGTAGGTACCAACTGTAAATTGGAAAGATGTTGTAAAAGAATTTGATCATCCAGGATTTCTAGTACGTGATCGACAAGCACTTATATTACTTATAACAGCACTTCGTCGAGCATTACCAACTGAATAATATATTGATTTACTTTATGGACGTTGGAATAATATTGAAGGACAAGTTAGAAAATGTAGAAACTAAAAATATTTAAATTTAAAATATTTATTTATAGTTATCATGGCTTGCTCAAGCAAGATCGAAGTAGTTATGATGAATTTCAATAGTAGCGTGGAACATAACAAAAAAATGTCGAAGTAAGGCTGAGGATATGGGTGAGAGTGAGGATAAGATCTGGATCTTAGTGCAGATTTTCTCTACACCAAGGCACGCAGACCCACACTCTATGTTCAGCTTAATCATGTTTCTGCATGTAGTGTTGTGAATATTTTTTTTTAATTTGTGATTCTTGTTTTCATGTATAATAAATTTAGTGATCAAAACAGTCATTTTTTGTTGATCATTCACAGCCAAAAAATTTGGTGATCAAAAAAAAATGGTTAGCCAAGAATGTATGTAGAATATATTGTTACATATCGAATGCGTTATTCATCTTCATCATCAATCAAATATCGATGAGTAAGATCTTTTACTAGACGAGATTATTTCATTCACCATTGACAATCAAATTGAACAAATATACTTGAATAGAATGATACCATCTATCTCGAATACTCTCATCTTGAGGCGAGGTATAATTTTTTTTTATATGATTTGCATTGAAATGAATGATCATGTTGACTTATGAGATACCAATTTTCTGGTATGCCATGAAAAGTGCAGTATTGATAAGATTTTTCGATGAAAGACGAGTTTAAACTGGAGACGGTATACTTTGAAACTCTATCAAAAGCTGTATACAACTGCATCATTTTAAAAGATGTTCATCCATCAAATTTAAAGAACATAGAGGAAGACATGTGATTCATTTAGTATTAGAATTATTTTCAGTTTTTGAAGGTATTAGAAGAGTTCTCTCTATTTGTTCAATTTACTGGATAACTCTTTCGATAACTTTCTTAACAATTCTTTTGACTTATCTAACAACTGGTATCTATTAGAATTTTTTCGAAGTATAAGCTAAAGCTCTGTAGAGTAATTGTTGTCGATATTTGAATAGAGTAAGGTTAATACAAGACCATAGAAAGGTAGAACATGCGAAAGCTATAGTACGAACAAAATTGTTAGGTAGGATAGAGCATGAGAATTTATATCCTTGAATGATTCAAGCAAATATGCAGAGAATTATCGAGGAGATTGTCAAAAGAAAGTCGTAGTAGTTAGTATACTATTTTCAACCTTATTATCAAATCTGCAAAAAAATTCAACGAAACTATGTTTTTATATCAGATAAACAAATATCACAAAATT